GCCCGTGCTGCCCGCGCCCGGCAAGTGCTTCGACGTCTACATCGCCATGGCCGCCAACCCTTGGAACTTTATAGTAACACACCAGATCATGAATCTCTTGACTACTGTTCCTTTAGACAAAGTAACATTCCAATATCGCTATCGCTGATCGAAAAGTCAAAAATGTATGGAACTGACAATAGCATTTGATGAGTTACTCCTATACATTTTGACACATTTTGTCGATTTTACTAGCGATATAGCTAATCGAAAGTCACTTTGTCTCAGGGGCCAAGTTCGAATTCTTTCATAAATTACTGCTCGATAGACAAATTTAAATGAATGCTAATGTTTTTGAACTGTAACTAGGTGCAGTCGAACACGAACCGGTACACTCTGCAAACGATGATGATGGAGCTGCAGCGCGAGTGCCCCAAGCTGTCGGCGGACGACGCGCCCACCGCCCCTGCCAACGGCGAGCTCTTCACTGCATACTACCCTAAGGACTCATCCTGGTACAGGTAAAAAATATCTTTTTATCCTATTTATTTATTGGGTATGTATTAAATAATAAAATTATATTTCTTAACACGATGGTGTTACGTGCCAATCATATATGAAGAACTACTTTGTGCACGACTTTGTTTGCGTAGAAATGAAAAAAAAGTCGAGAAATGCTGGTATGCTTGCAGCAAATGTGTTTAAACTTGTGTTAATAGAGAAATTTCAATAAGTAGTGTTGAATCGCTGTGGAGTTATCAAGTATATGTGAGAATCAAACGTATCCCACGGAAACTGTACACATTTACCAAATTATAGCTAGCCTGTGTATTCCCCCATTCTGTGTACTACATCCATATCAAATTGCACTGATAATTTGCAATGTTTATTGGCAGAGTAACAATAGCGGGCACGGTATCGACTGAAACGGTGTCTATATACTTCTGTGACTTCGGCGACCTGGCGCTGTTCGCGATGAAGGACCTGCGGCCTGTGCCCGCCTCCGTGCCGCTCGCGCGCTCGCTGCCCCCGCAGGCGATAAAGGGCAAATTGTTCGGTCAGTCTATATATTATTATGTTTATCGTCAAACATATTTACATATTTGTGAAAAATAGATAACTGATTAATGAGTACCACATGTTAATTTTTCAAAACACATTAATTTTTACGCTTGATTTTACTAATTCGGACAGATGTGCGCCCACTTTACCAAGACTGGACGGTAGAAGACTGCATTAGGTTTCAAGAATTGTGTGTGGAGCAGCAGTTTGTCGGCATATGCAAAGAAGTGGACAAGGATCCTTTGAATCCAAAAGAGCCTCTTCTCATCCTGGACCTTATCGACACATCCACAGATGAAGACATATACCTAAACAAACAGTTAGTTGCCGAGGGCAGAGCTAGACTTGCATCCGATTCCTAATTATTTAAAAACTTACATATAAGGACTTTGTTATGTTTTATTATATTTGTTTTGCATTTTTTTAGTGAAAGCTGTCGTGTATGTAGTTTGACAGCTCTCACTTAAATTATTCTATGTTATGAAACATTTTATGCATCTAATCTACTCTTGTATAATGTAGGTCTGCTTCTATATGGTAGTCTGTTTACAATAGAAATTATTGTCTTTCAATGTCGATGTAATCACATTAGACAATTTATATTCAACATTCATTAAACTGAGGCTGTTTACATAATACTCAACATTAATTCCATATTTAGTATTCAGTATGGTATTTTTTAAGTGTATAATTTTTAAACAATAATCAGTGTTTACTTGAAGACAAGCGTATATATGCAAAAATTACCTGGACTCTTTTATCATCACCTATATAACTAGTAGTATTCTAGAAATACTTTGTATATATAGAACTGAAAATACAATCATATAGATATTGTTTATCATACATAGCAATGACACTGCATGCTCATGTAAAATGTTGATAAAAATGCTAAACTTCAATGTCTTGATTTAACTTAAAACAACAAAAAAGTTTAAAGAAATTGACATTTTGCAAAATCTAGTACAGTAAAGAATGAATTTTTGTATGCGATACACACACACCAGAAGACACATTCTAGATATTACACACTGCTCTTAGCAGACATCATGATGATATAACAAGGTTTTGACATTTACCTAAAAAGAATGCTTGTCACACACCCATCCCAATTATATAGAATGCCTATTATATACAAGTTTTTCCACAAGTGTTTATTCTATTTGTAAGTTCAGTTCTTCAGCATGCTCATTTACTCAGTATTAAAAATATATTAGATTATCAGTGTCAGGGTTTATTTGCATTTTACACAGTAATCCACTCTTTGTCATACCTGCCTAAATGGCACTTTATAAACTTTAATGATTTGCTAGCAGCTATTATCATATTATATACAAAATAATCCACTTGTGTGCACATGCCAATAAACATATTATCTGAATCTTAAATTGTGTTTTATTTCATTTACCTTTCCATCATTTACATCAAAGAATAAACAACATTCTTGTTAAAAAAGCACTTAAAAAGACAACATGAACATTATATTTTTTAAAATTTTTCATTATCTGAGCAGGAATTGTTAAATAATGATAAAAAACAACCAAATTACAAATTATTTATTATTTTTAGTAATATTTTACAGTGTTATACATATCTAGAAAACATTTCTTGTAATTTCGTTGAAGATTCAATATTTGAAGGACACAACTTTGCCAAACATACAACCTGGTACTTTTGTATTTGTTTTTAAGCACTGCCATTTAAGCAACCTTAGAGGAATAATTATACATAGTAAGAAACATACTGGTGAGCACACAGGATATTGCATTTATGATATGAATATTAGATGAAATGGTTGTAATATGAGTTTTCTTGTTAATGACAAAGAAATGTGAGTTTCTTAATTGTTAGGATTAGAATACTACCATAAAACTTACATAAAATATCACTTAGTTGTTTATTTGAGAAAGCTATATTTAAAAGCATATTTAAAATTAAACATATTTCCTTTAGAATAAAAACAGAGTTGGCATCGGACACACCTTGATTTAGAAATGTTCATTACTGTTAAGGCCAAGTTAAGAATCCTCAATGTCATTTGTTTAAAATCACTTATGCAGCTCAATTGGCCAACTAGAGTTTATATGACAAGTACAAAAACAAAACAAGAAATATTATTTACGTAGATCATCACTTGAAATACCATATTTCTTTTTTAATGTATCTATCTCTTCTTGCTTCTTCTCTATGTCCATTCCCTTGAAGGCTTTGTTTGATCTGTAGTACAATACAACTAAATACCTGTTGCACACATTGAATCCAGATAAATGATCACAAGCATTTTTTGCATCAAATATATCCTCATACACAACAAATGCTGTTCCTCTTGTCTCTGGTGTGTTTCCACTGGAAGTATATAAACCATTAGTATAAAAGAAATGTGTGCTTGATTAGAAGTTATAAATTTGAATACCTACACTCGAATTTGTCGAATTGCACCATATTTTCCAAATATATCATACATTTCTTCGGCTGATATCTTGTATGGTAAATTTCTTACATATAGTATCCTATTCACTTCAGGTGGTAATCGGACCTAAAAAACGAACAATTTATAAACAATCTTAAATATGCTCCGAAATTTGGGAACCATTCATCATGGGTATCAAATTACCGTTTACTTTTTTTACTTACAATTAAATTGATAATCTAATAACAGGACAAAAGTTTTCCGTACCATAACCAAAGAAATATTGTACTATACAGAAAAGCTGTTACTAACTGAAAGGTACATTGTAAGTAAATGCAAATATAAAATACAATATAGTAATTGGTATGGTATAGTTTTAAAAGCACAATATGGTTTTATGGTGGATAAAAGGTTGTTTTGTGTACTTACATTAGCGCGTCTCTGTAAAGCTAAAGCCATATTTACGTTAGTGGTATCTATATTAGGGCCTTGTTAAAAGTGCTATCTAGGCAGGTTTTATAATTTTATCTGTATAGCTGGAAAATAAAATCTATTAAACGAAACAACTAAATGTTATTTCTTGTAAATATTACATAGACGCTCGCTCACGTTTGATTGTCAAATTGTCATTGTCAGTTTGTCAGTTGTCATTTTGATTGTTGTCAAGTCAAAAGATTTTTAAGAATTCAGCCAAATTTTATAACATCCAATTTTAAGATATTAGGTATTGTTTTAGATTTTTTTGAGTATAATTTCTTTTTAGTTCAACATGTTCTTTTATGGGCATATTGCAAAGAACATTTTGTTTATGTTCTACAACGTAGCCGATGCTGGATTGTCGCAGTTTATTGTAATCCTCTAATAAAAAAGTTTTCACATCTGGAACTGGAGGTTTTTTTTCTATCTGTTGTTTGGTCTTGCTATATATTCCTTATCACTGGTTTGTAATTGTCACTTGGATGGATTGTGTGAAAGAGGATATGCTTAAGAAAGGAGTGGATTCAGATATGACAGCTGATAGAGATGTATGGAAGAGCAGCACATACTGTGCCGACCCTCCATAAGGGATAAGGGCAAGTGGATGATGACTGGTTTGTAATAATCCCTATGCGCCAACCACAGGCGAGTACAATAAAGCTAGTAATCTCCCTTCCTCATCATCTGATGATGATGATTAGATGGATGCAACTACAGTAGAACCTCGATAACTCAAACAGCGGTAACTTATAAACCTCAAAAACTTCAAAAAATAATACGTTCCCTTCCCATCAGTGCCTAAAACCTCTATAACATAGACCCTTGAAAAATTAAAACCTCTATAATTTAAAATATTGTGTTTCCCTTGGACTTTAACTTTGATGGAAATAAAACCAATAAATCTTGGGAATTTTTATTATTGCAGCAATGTTATTGTTTAGGAAATAAACTATAGTTCCAAAATTATGTAAATCATTCAATGGTGGTTCATAACGTCGTCATGGAGTGAAAATCTACGAGTTCGTCGCCAGTGCAGCAGGCCCGCGGCCGCGCACAGCAACAACAGCAACACTACCGATACCGCACTCATAGCGACCATACCGCCACGTAAACGACTTCCATCTGAATCAAAATTTTTACATAAAAATACACTCGATCCGATGCACAGACAGATATTACGGAAAAAAATAATTAAGCCAACCTAAGTATAAGTTTTCAAGGTTTACCTTCTTCGGTAGTGAATTGTTCCGAATGCTCTCTGCTATTCAGTAAGTTCGAAAGGTTCGGCAAATACTTAAGCCAAAACGCTACATCTCTGGATGCAGAAAAATAGTTGTGGTCGTTATTAAATCCTTCACGAATTTCTTGAACGTACGCATTTCCAACTTTATATCTTTCCCATCCATCATTTGCGTCTGGATATCTGTAAAATAATGTATTATACAATCAACTTGGTCACTAGAACAATGGTCTAATGCTAATTATAAGTTATACCCAAATCTAACGAAGTTCGTAATGTATTTCCGAAAAACAGACGAAATTCGTTTCTCGCTATCAGTAGCAGGTCTGCGAGCTATTTGAAGCATTAAAGCATCTCCCAGAAGTGCTATTAAATCGGCACCATGTACTGCTCCTGTAAATTCAAAATGTAAGATAAAGAAATACAATTTTCAGTTATTTTTCATTTAATACTTATTCATCCTTTCGTGTAATGTCGTTTAGTAGAAGATATTAAGTATACCTGTGAAATTGAAGTGTCGTCCCCGTATGTCAACTTGTGAGGGCTGACTGAAGCGGTACACGTAGAGGCGCAGGGCTCTCCGCGCCAGCCGCTCCGCCAGCAGTGCGCCGCCCGCGCCCCACCTCGCCGAACTCTCCATCCGCGCGAGCCCCTCCACTGCGGCTATCGCTTCCTTCTCCACTTCCTTTCTTGACTGCACTCCCCAAAACTCCCATCTTATCATTTGAATGAGCTTGAAGAAAATGCTTTAATAATTCTCTAGTTCAAGTATAAATAATATGAAATATGAAATACATTTGGATTTAACCTATTTTTATGTATACCATTGACAACGTATCTTCTCTTTGCAATGAAAGTAAGCGCAACGTCTCGGGTATCGCTCTTGTGGTGGCGTATTCGAAAATCCGCTGCGGTCCCTCCTTCATTAAATCTTCGTAAGCATGATCTGCGAGAAAATCTATTTTTAATTTAACGTTTGATTGTGTTTTTTTTGCAACTAACATGAAATGTGTTCCAAAACAAACCATTAGAGTTGATCGCTTCAAGGTTGGTAGTGCCCATGAGTACGTCAAGTTGAATGTTTGACATTTTCGATGATGTCAGAGCTTCCGCTACTGAGACCGGTAAATATTGTTCTGATTCTGGTAAGAAATTATCGGATATGGGCTGCAAATCATTTAGCCAAGTGCTATTCTAAAAAAGAAGAAGTGAAAATCAACATAAATGTGACTTTAATAGCAACAAAAAAATGTATTGTAACAAGGTTTACATTTCATACCAGAGCGGCCGAGATTATATCGGTGATGGAACGGGATCGCATACAGTTTAAAATTTCTCTGTCAGTTGTACCCGAGCACTCGAGGGCTTCTGCGATCGATCGAGATATTCTTTCAACTTGCGTAGCATTTATGTTCAATCCTGTATCAATCGCACGCCACATATTTCTTGGAGACATAATTATAGCTCTGTGGAATAAACCTGTCCATGGATCTGTTATTACTTATTTAAACCAACATGATCACTAGGTTTTTAAAACGTTTCCAGTACGTACCTGCGGAGCGGGGCGACACGATATGGTGTAGAACACAGTCAGCGCCGGCGGAATGACCGACCAATGTGATCGCGTTCGGGTCACCTCCGAAGGCGGCGATGTTCTCTCGAGTCCACAACAACGCGAGATACTGGTCGAGTAGAGCGAGGTTACCTCGGGCCGCTACCGAGTTGAGCGTGAACAGCGACAGTAAATGTAGGCGATAATTTACCGTAATCACCACTACACCCTCGGAAGCCAACTCTTGACAGGGTAACGTGGCACCGCCTTGTAACCATGTTTCGCTATACAACAGAACCATCACTGGAAGCAATTTGCCATCTACTCGCTACCTAAAAATATTATTTGTGCTAAATGTGGTATATGTCAGATTTCCCTTACAATTAGCAGCACCCGTCATAAATGTCGCATGAATGCAGTCGTCAGAATGACGCATATAAACATTTGTAACCGACGAACTCATATTAATTATATTTTTCCGAAAGTCTAACCTTTGGAGCGAAAATATTTAAGAATAGGCAATCTTCATTGTAGCTTTCAGCGTCCAAACCCAGTTGCGGGCATCTCGGCGGCATTCGATGCGCAAAAAACGTACGTCTCCAGCCCGGGTGACGTTCAGGTGCCTAAAAGGTATATATGATTATTTTTCTATAACACCTTAAGAAATGTGTTTTCACCGTCCATCAAAAACATAACATTTAATAATAAGATATTTAAAATTACAATCAGAATTAAACTTGCCGAAAATCTAAATCTCCCTAGCGGCGCATTCGCGTAAGGAATGCCGTAGAAAATTTCCACAGGCGTAAGAGAAGATTCAGTATAAACCTTAATCTGTAATGATATTAATTGTGTTGATATTTACATTTGAAACTAATGAAACAAAATTATACTAATAATCTCACCCCCACGATACGTCCTTGTGGTATATTTGCGGTCGGATCCTGAGCTGAGACACGATACATTAGTATTAAAATGGAACAAAAAATATAAAAACACATATTTTAATATTATGTAGTAATGAGTCGCGCGGAGAGTCAATAATGTATTTGTCATTACGCGGTCAAACTAAATGGCAGTCTATCGCTATTCGGTATAGCAAGTTCCGAACAGTACATGAATTTGACAATGCGACGCTCCAGTCCATGACGAGCGCTGTATAATAGGGCACAGTATAATACCTATGATGATTGTTCTAAATTCATTGGCAGTCTTTTGTGCGCAGGTGAAAATATATTCATAACGTCACAGAGACATTAAGCTAGGTAAGGCGGAACCGCCACATCCTGCAACATAATAGTTGGTAGTAAACGAGATATTGTTGGCAAAAATACCAGAAATGTTCGTAGATTTCATTTTTATTAAATATATAAATGTAGTTTTATCTCACCTCTTAAAATCCTTGTTATCTTTATATACCTGCATAGTTTTTTTATATAATAATTTAGGTAAAATAAAAGCTCGTAGATTGGCATTGTTAACCTTTTGAGATAATTTATTCGAACCTCAATATGTTCAAAACTCTGCTGTGTTACGGACTTATTTTCTCAAGAATTACTAATCAAAATTTCCACAGCTAAGCCTTCACTATTTGTTCGATTCAATTTAGCAATATTTTACAAAAAGACACAAATAAGTGCGTAATAAGAACGTTTCATACAAATGTAATAAAAGTCAAAAACAAAACGCTTCAAAAGTTACACTGCAAATTTTTCAAAATCAGCACCGAAACCGTTTACTATAGTCATACTTTCACGGTCCCATATGCTAAGTCCAACTTCTTTAATAACATTTTATAATAATAATTCATAGGTTGATTATTTGCGAAGCCGATGGTCGCCAGCATGAGCCCGTAGCCGAGGAGTATCGACATCAGCTTGTGTCTGGTCAGCCACTGCCTCAGCCCACCTCCTGAAACCGTTACGGAGAAAGCCTTGTAAGATTGTCGTTAATAATTGTTACCATTCTAACATTTGACAAACTTTTTACCGTTTCTGTTCACACTGGTCGTGCTGAACCGTATCGAGGTCGGCTGCTTTGCATACACGAGCAGGTAACGTAATCTAAGCAAATCACTGTTCATCACTAAATAGTGATTCAGTTTTGGGTCGGGCGTACTCCCCATGGAAATCTTATTTGAGTTTTGTATGATCCCGTCACCTGTCAACACATATTATGAGGAAAATCCTATGTAACAAAAAAAATAAACTATAAAACGTTTTAATCAATTTCTCTTTTTAAACAGTTGCTTAGTGTAAGTTCCTCACTAACTCTATGCTAAGGGACTCCCAAAGTAGCCATAATCTGAGCATAGCAGCTTGACTTATATAATAGAACATAGCTATGCTGAGCTGTTCTATTCAATATTGGAAACCGATAACCTTATGCAAAGGTGTCTACATTGAATCAGTTACGTAAATCGAATAGAGATTAGTTCAATTTAAAATGATATTTGTAATTATTACCCAACCAACACACCTTCGTCCGAGACGGGCTTTTTGTAGTTGATCCCGTCGGGGGTGTCGATGACTTCGCAGAGCGCGACGCAAGACAAATGGCCGCCGATGGTGCTCGCCCCCCAACCGAATCCGCCGTGACTGTGCGGCAGCGTTATATTTAGATCGGGAGACAAGTAAAACCCAGTACCTAGCGACGAATTCTGTAAACGAACATTTTTTAAATTCACTGTACATACTTATTTAAACGAAATAATTTACGAAATTTGTTATAAAACAAGACCTTGGCCGTTTGTTGATGGAATCCGAAATGCAACATGTTGTAAATATTCTCCAGGCGACTTCCATGAAAGGCATAAAATGTTCTATAGTTTTTGGACATGTCTTTCCATTTTGCTTCTGTGTGTGATGTTTTCGAATTGTGTACCTGAAATATGTATTGAGGCTGCGGCGCCGCTGATGAGTTTGTGTTCCCGAGAATTGAACTATGCTGGAATATAAAACAGATTAAAAACAAATTTTGCAAAATTAGTGCTTTAAAAAATATGACCCATATAATATTTGACTTACTAATTCTGCCGGTACAGTCTTTAGGCTTGGTTCTTTTAACCTGACGAGTACGTAAAATAATAAATCTATTATATCACTTATATTCGTTAAATTATCTATGTCGTCCAATTGTTGTAGGAACAAATCGAGTGCGGGCACGTCGGTTAAAACATTCAACTGCAAGAATACAAACAAATAATAACTTGCATATCATTTAAAGTTATTGATACAAATAAACAATTAACAATTTATTTAACCAATTCATCCATATCCTTGACGCCGTCTTTCATAAAAGCCGGTGGGAACGGTCTCAGACAACTTTCGTATCTGAAACTGAATGCGGCGGCCACAAATAAACTCCATTTGAAATCTGCGGCTTTGAAATCTTTCTCTAAAACCAACCTATAAAAATATTAAATTTCTTTTGTTTACTGTAATTTTATTATTTCGAAGATAATGCAAGAACAACATTGATATGAAAATGAAAAATACAGCGCTCGTTAAAGGTAGATCTATCACAATGCGGGCGTTGCTAAATCTCGTGCTTCAAAGTGCAGGGAGTACGCTAGGTGTTATTATCATATCGTTAAGAATAATCTTCTTTTATCTTGCGTTTTACCTTAAATGAACAGCTTTTTTCTCTAAAGTGTCCAATTTCGCCTGAATGACGTCGGATATCGCTTCCGACCCTGTTGTTCCATTACAATTGGTAGTAGAATCCGAAAATAACTCTGGTTCACCATTCATTTTTGATTTTTTTATTATTTACATAATTTTGAATAAACAAAAAATATATTTGACAGATCAGATTGAACAGCTTGATATAAATATAATGTCAAAATTTGAATACTAAAAACCAAACAATAGAACATGAAAAGTATAAATTAAAAAAAGGATTATTGTGACAGTGCAACGAAAGAAAAGTGAAGCGACCGCGTTATAAGATAATAAATTCTTTTTGTGTCGGTGAAATTACTTTTAAGCAATATTTTCGGAATTAAGTTTAATTAACGGCAAAGTATTTCTTTAATGCCACGGTTCTTGATAAATTTCTAGTCATCAAAGTAAGACAAAATTTGAAATGGATTCGACAATATAATGTCTTGCTTGCTTACACATTGCTTGTAAAATATTATGTATAATAATTCGTCTCAACACATTTCTTGAACATACTATTCCGTAAGGCCTAGAAATCGGACTAACAGACATCATCCTAATAATCAGTTAGGGGAGTAGCGCCGTCCGAGGATCAGAATCTGCTCATTTCTGTTCACTATTACAATACGCGCATTGTCAGATAATTTTTGAACCTCCAAGATGTTTTGTATTTCATCAGATTATATTATTTACGTCCAGGGAAAATAAAAGCAATTTTAAAGATCATGTTCCTTATATTTAATGAAAAATCTTTTACAAAATTGAGATATACCTAATTTTGATTGGATACAAATTAATAAAAATTTCGTTATGGAGAAAATATTCGTAAATGCATTACTTACATAAAAATATTGCTACATATATTAAAATAAAATTGAAAAAATTGAAAACTAAAAGGATTTAAAACAACATTTGTCAAAAATCGTGTTCTATAACTATATGTATTTATTAATACAATACTAAAATTACAAGTTTAACCTATACAATGCACCTTATATTGAAATTTGGTGATGGAATGTTTTTACCAACATATCCAAGGTGCAGAAACAATAAATCTTTCCGATCAGTACGCACAAATGGTGGTCTGCGTGGGGCGCGGCACGGGGCCGGGGCCGGCGCTGGGGCTGGGGCTGGGGCAGGGGCCGGAGCCAGACCCGGCGCAGGGGCAGAAGCCGGGACTGGGGCCAGATTCGGGGCCGCACCGCGCTACCGGCGCTGCCTCAGCTGCCAAAATCAAGTCTAGAAATAAAATAATAACTCTAAATTGCTACAATCATTTACGTACAAGGAAACACAAATGATTGTTATCGGTGTCTATTTAAATGTGATACATCAATTACATTACCTATAACCTTAACCGCGATTAAAATTATGTATCCAAGGAGGGGTGTAAATTGAGAAGGTACTTAAAAACAACATTTATTGTTGCTTTAAATATATATATATACTTTCTATTTAGCTAACTACGGCACAAAATCTATTTGTGACCTAGTTAGCTATTTGATAGCCCTGTGATCTGTGTTTACCTTCGGTGTGAAAATACAAAAGTACTAAGTACAGCATGTTTCATATTTACATAGAGCATGTGCTATTCGAAGTTGGAGTTGAACATGTTGATGTTGAGGTCCTCGAAGGTGGCCTGGCCCGAGTCGAGGATCTGCAGCATGTCGGACAGCTCGTGCGG